GATTCTAATGGGCTAACCGCTAATCATAAAATAAAAGAGTTGAATGGGTCTGACCTATACGGAATTTGGCCATCAAGTAAAACAAATGAACATCATTGGGTTGCCATTCTAAAACAAGCTATTTTCTCTAGCATAATATATATTATGCTAAAATATAATGTATTTTAAAGTTATTAAATGGTTCAACCTCGACGTACCCCATTTGTCCAATTTTTATAATTTTAAATATATATTATATAATTATTTGATATCATAATGATTAAATTATAGTGTATTGTATAGGGAATTGTTTGGTATTTGTAAGTAAAAAATTAAACAGAAAGATCTATTTGATTTTTTAACATTAAAACAATCCTAAACATTTTTCAGTTTCTTTCGAATTTCTATGGTTATATTCCCGAATCAGTGATGTGCAGATGGCGAATTGCAGTCATCTCTTTTCTTTTCCTATTTTTTATTTTCAAATAGAAAGTTTAAAAGTAAAGAATAATTAGAGTTTGGCATGGGTCGGTCAAACATGCTGAATTTCAAGTTTTGGCCCGTTTTGATCAAGCCTAATTTATAATCACATGGTTCCCTGATATCCGATAAAAATCTCAATCCAAACCAGTTCGGCAGGTGAGTTTGTGTTTACCACCATTTTCTAGGGATACAGGAACGACACAATGACGACAAGATTTTTATCGGATCCCAAATCGTATTGTTCGCTCTTGATTTCTATAGATTTTATCATGGCCTGACTAAAACTAGAAAGCACAATGACGACAAGATGAAAGTTTTATAAAGCAAATTAATCGGCCAATGGGCCGAGTAAAAGCTAGCAACGATTGTGAGATGCTCATTTTCCGAAGACCGGCGGGATATGTGACTTTTTATTCGATTTTATGGAATTCGGTTTCTATAAAAACTTACTCCACCTCATCATATTACTAGAAATAATAGGTACTTGATTTTGTTTCATAAGGCTGATTTTTGATTCGTTGCATCATTCATGTCTCTTTCCTGCTAAAATTCACTTATCACGTGTTTCCAAAAAAAATACTATACAAAAATAAGTTATACACCCAATTACATTATCAAATTTCATACCTCACCTTCCTCCGGCCAACTGGTCGGGGCCCACGCTAATTTTTGTAATACGCGAAGCGATAGCGAGCGGAATTTTGCTAGTGTCTTTGAATTAAACAATTAAGATTTTTTTTGTCATTCGCTCATACTGTGGAGTAGAGGTTAAACCATCTGCATACATTTTTCTCCAAAAACTTAGTCGATCTCTTATAATCTATACAGTTAGTTCCCTTACTAGGGGTTTGTCAACCAAAACACAAGTGATTTACTAATGATGGTCAATTTGTGGTCGAAAGATAAGAGAAGTTAGAAAGTAAGCGTACTCATGAAAACTGTAAAATGGAGTGTGTGGGGAATTCCCACGTTAATGATGATCAATTTGTGGTCGAAAGATAAGAGAAGTTAGAAAGTAAGCGTACTCATGAAAACTGTAAAATGGAGAGTGTGGGGGATTCCCACGTTACTGGGAGGCACCCAGATCGTGGGTCTAGGGTTACGGATAGGTTAAGATGACAAAAATATCCGTAACCGTTGATATTCGCTCGAATTCGACCTAATCGGGTAGAGGAAAATTCGAACTAGAAGGACTTTTAGTGGGTACGGGTAAAACCGTAACTCGAATATTGTGGGTAATGGGTGAGCATGATTTTCTCACTATCCAACCCGAACCCGTCCGATTATACACAACCATATGTATTTTGTCTAGAAATAATCTTTATTTTTCTCTAACATATTTTATATTTAGCATATAAATATAAAATTTTCATGAAATTGTGTTGTTTTAATTTATTTTCTTCATTTTGGTGAATTATTGTCATAAATTTCCTCTTACGTAATGTTGGTAACTTGGTATACATGTGAATAACATATTGGTTTTAAAAAAAAATTATTACCCATGGGTAACCGTGGATACCCGAAACCCGAGTGGATGTGGGTATGGTTTTGATTTTCTAACCATTTCTCACGTGGGTATGAGTATGGGTAAAACCCGAACTAGTATGGGTAGGGTAACGGATATGCACTATCCGCTCCCGACCCGACCCGTTGACATCCCTAGGGTACGCAAATTCTCGTAATTTTTTTACGAGATGGGACTTGAGATAAAAAAACTTCTAAAGGGTACCTACGGGTTACTCATTGATAAATGTTTGAGTATTACGGATACCCGTACTACCCACCCATATCCTCGCCCCATTTAGTCCGAACACAAGAGATGCCATCAATATTGTGACACGTCTGTACAAACTTTACCTTATCAGCTTATGCCCGAAGGGCTTCACGCCAGGATTTGGGAAGGTTCAAAAGTAAACGGCTAGCTCCATCTTGCATTACTCCCTCAGCTTTTCCATAATCTATGCTATAGCATTTTCATCATCAACAACAACAAAAGTATCTAGTTCTAGTCATGTGGCTGCTTGTTCTTAAACATCTTCCTGGAAATTCTGCATTAACCTGAGCAAGATTGCAGCACCTTACTTGAGCCAGAAGTTAACCAAACCTTGTGGGTAGCTCTCAGTTGTGCGCTAAAGTGTATGCTAAAGGAGGCACTCCATCCAAATCATCACATCTCGCAAGTTTATATCCTTTTGTTCGGTGCATGACTTCAATAATCTTTTTTGTTTTGCAGGTGACTATTCTCGTCATCAACGAGGATCTGGGGGTTGTTATCCCGATGCTCGTGTCCCTGTCTATCATCCATACAGAGGATACACACATGGAGACTATTTACATTATAGTTCGCGTATTAAGTTGAAAGAGCACGGTTCTAGGTGTGCGATTGGGGATCGTGATTGATATGAGAATTAGGGATTTGGGTGAGGTAGAATTTGGGAATTAGGGTTGAGAGAAGAGGATTCCGGTCACCGGGGTGGTGGCCGACGGGTTGGAGAGGGAGAGAGGGGGCTCGGCAATGAGAGAGGGAGAGAGATTGAGTAGGGAATAATTCTGTTGTTATTGCTTAACCCTAACTTAGGCCTAACACAGAATATATATAAACCGACTAATTCCCTATAGCTACCCAAAGACTTAACCTAACCGATTTAACCCCAATAGTTCCCGAAATAGCCGACATAACATAAAACGTCTAAATAACAAATAAACCCCCAATTAATGACTATCTAACATCCCATCCCCCTTGAAACCCACCTTGCCCTCAAGGTGGACCTTCTTTCTTCTCTTCCGCTTCGCGCCTCCATCTCCTCTCCTTTATCCTCCCAGTTTCCGACCAGCTGCATTAGATGACCCTTGGCGCATTGGTGCCCCACCGTGTACCTTTCGTCGCATTTGAAGCAACGACCGTCTCTGCGTTTCTGGTCTATTTCCGCCTGAGTTAGCCGGACAAACCCCTTTGGTGGCAGCCTTGACTGGAACCTGTTACCCATTGCTGTTCCAGTGCCAGCCGGGCTTGCATTTCCCGACGGTGGTGTGATACCAGCTCCTGCTCCCATTCCTCCACTGGCTTTCTGGATACGCCCAGCCGACGTCCTCCAACTAGCCAACTTCTCTTCCTTGCGCCCTGCGATCCTGAAAGCAACTCGAAGAGAGTCAGGTTCGAAAACCTTAACGGCAGTTGCCAGCTCAGGGCGGAGCCCCTCCATACACAATCCCACCAGAGACTCCTCTGTCATTTCCTTGCACTGGTTTCCCAGCTTAAGGAACTTCGCGTGATACTCAGCCACCGTCCATGTCTGTCTGAGCTTGGCCAGCTTTTCCGGAGCCCAACCCTCTGCCTTGCCAAACTGGTAGCGCAGCTCATTCTGGAACCTGGGCCATGATATGATCTCACCGGCCGCTGCATAAGCTCGCTAGGTCCATTCCCACCATTGGAGGGCATCTCCCTCAAGATAGAAGGACGCCAGGTGCGCCTTCCGTTCTTCCCGGATTGGGTGGTTCCTGAACCACCTCTCAGCTGCATACAACCACAAACCTACATCTCCCAAGCCGTCGAACTTGGGAAATTCTATCACTGGAAGTTTAGCTCTAAACACCAATTCCTCTTCGGTCTCATATAGAGGGTTATTGTATTCATACTTGCCTGCGTTCGGCGGCGACGGTTGGTTCACCGTGCCCTGATGGTAGTAGCTGCCCGCGGCTCGCTGCTGGGGAGGATAGGGCCAGTCGCCCGTCACCTCCTGGTGGTTCCCGCCGTACTCAGGTTTGGTCCCAGACCCTTGCTTAATGTCCCGACAACCTCGACCTCTGCCTCCTACTGCTCGCGGCGTAATCCACGGGGGGTACCCGTACTCCTGGCAACTGTCGAGACCCCTGCCCGACCCGATCCAGCTACTGTCCGCCGGTGGTTGACTCGACCCGGTTCGGTTCAGCCCGGTTCGACCCCGGCTCGGTTCGGTTCGGCCCAGTTGACCGCCCAGTGACCGGCCCGGTTTGGCCCGACTGCCGGTCCACCATCGCGCCCCATCTGGACTCGGGTCCACCCAGTCCTCTGGGTCACCAAAGCTCAGCTCCTCCTCCTCCCGGGGCCCAATCGGCCATGGCTCTTCTCCGTCGGGCCATGTCGGCCATGGCTCTCCTTCGTACCCCACCATCTTCTGTTTCCCCCGGGCCTTTTCATGGGTCGGGTCCGTCGGCGTCAGCAGCAAACTCGGTCCGCTGCAAATTGGTGCGGGCGCGCTCCTCGAGCCCTGATTTCCCGGCTCCCCGACGCGGCTACGCGGCATGGCCGAGCTCGCGATCAAGACTCGCGCCGCCCCAGGCTCACCACCGCCGCCGCCTCCACCGCCGCCGTGCGCCCAGCCGCCGCGCCGCCGCGAGGCGACTCCTCCTTGCTCGCCGCGTCGCCGCCCTCCTGGGTCGCCGCCCCCGCCGCGGCTGCTGCTACCGGTGCCGGCCCCATGGCCGTGCTCGCCGGCGGCTCCCGGTTCCTCAGAACCTAGGTTAGCACCTCCTGCATCATCGCTGCTAAGGCTCCGCAGATGTTTTCAGCCACGCTTTTGCCCATCTCTTCGATGGAAGCTTTGATCAGGTCGCCCATAGCTTCGATTGCCCCGATCAAGTCCTTCGAGGGCTCCGCTGCGCTCACAGTAACCTCCGTCAGGCTCTCCAATGATGCTGCCATCGCGTCATACTTGCTTATCGTCACGTCCTTGACCGTCACAACCTCCTTGTTCTGGCGCGGCGGCTGCTACTTGTCCGTAGGGTTCGACATCGTCAGAGTGCAGTGTTTCTTCAGAGAATCGGCACACCAGCCAGGCTCTGATACCATTGAAAGAGCACGGATCTAGGTGTGCGATTGGGGATCGTGATTGATATGAGAATTAGGGATTTGGGTGAGGTAGAATTTGGGAATTAGGGTTGAGAGAAGAGGATTCCGGTCACCGGGGTGGTGGCCGACGGGTTGGAGAGGGAGAGAGGGGGCTCGACAATGAGAGAGGGAGAGAGATTGAGTAGGGAATAATTCTGTTGTTATTGCTTAACCCTAACTTAGGCCTAATACAGAATATATATAAACCGACTAATTCCCTATAGCTACCCAAAGACTTAACCTAACCGATTTAACCCCAATAGTTTCCGAAATAGCCGACATAACATAAAACGTCTATATAACAAATAAACCCCCAATTAAGGACTATCTAACATAAGTTCAACAAAAAAAATTAAAAGTTTGGTAGAATTTGGACATGAACTTCTGGTTTACGATGATGACAATGGCAAGCTAATGGTGGCGTGGGAGGCTCCGAATTGTCTTAGTTCTAGTCTCGACTTCTTCTTTCTTAATCCTAATGATACTGTGCTTGTAAATGTGTCTGGTAATTTTATGGGAACTTGCGGAATCCACAAGCTCTAACACTCATTAAGCAGTCTATGAAGGATGATACTTTGTCTATGGGTTACTCGCGAATACCCGTTATCCATCTCGTACGGGTAATGGGTACCCGTTAATTCGTACGGGTTTGAAATATGTGATGGAGTTTCCTCTCCAAATGGAACTGGGTACCTATTTCAAATGGGACAGGTACTGCCCACCCCTATGTGGCTCGATCATGGGGCCTGAGATTCTTGCACCACAGAGACGGCGACGATAAAAATGGCCAAATCGCTGGATCTGTCGCTGCACATTCGCTCGCAGTTTTGTTGTTCTTGTACCATTGTCATCTCTTGCGAAAGCCCAATGCTATGTTACAACTCACAAGTAGTGATGTCAATTAAACTCATGACCGTGGATAGCCTCCCCTACCCCCCCCCCCCCCCTCCTGGGATCTAGTCAACGCGGGGAATCTTCGCATTGATTGTGTATCGGGCAGGTATGGGTAAAACCTACAAAATGTATGATGGGTATGTCGGGTATGGTTTTAGCATCCCATACCCATACTCGCCCCACCAAGATCATTTTTTCACATATAAAAAATTCTTTGATAAAATTGTAACCGTCAATGATAGTGAGGGTAAACTGGAAAAAAATAGTAGAAATGCAATTGAGTGGTCACCCAAATCAAAATCTAATTCATTTTCCTCAACTCTCATTTCACTCTTCCACTTTTTCTCTGGTGCCAACAAGATTATGTTTGTTAGTTATTACTTAGTAGATGTATTAGAGTAAGAGAATGATAATTTGGATCACATTGTACTCTATCTTGTAGAGTAATGTATGTTTTAGTATAAGATGCTTTTCAACCGTATTAAGAATTATTGTCTCTTTATCGACTTCATGATGTCATAAACCAGTTGGTCCCAATAACTCGAGTTGTTGGGAGAAAGTTATGCTGAATCTTATACTACTCTCTAACACGCCCCCTCAAACGAAAGCCAACCCATGGCCTTGAAGTTTGCACAAGCCCACCATACCATGTGCTTGAAAGACAACGGTTAATATTGGGGGTCGTGGAGATTCGAACACATGACCTTTCGGTTCTAGGCTCTAATACCATGTCATAAACCAGTTGGTCCCAATAACTCGAGTTGTTGGGAGAAAGTTATGCTGGATCTTATACTACTCTCTAACACATGATATAGTAGGTGCGTTTAACATTATAATTGAAAATTTACAGGTAAAATTTTATGTATTTATGATGTTGGAAGTATGGAGCGAGTATTATCCATGAATACCCGAAACCAACAATATAAGAATTGGTTTGCAAAACCTTTCCTGCATGGGTATGAAGCGGGTATAAATTTGGATATTTGAAATCGCCAAACCCCCCAAACCCGCCCATTGCTCACAACTGGCATGTGCCTCGGACGTTGGTCTTATGTGGATCAAACGGTTGGTCTTCAAGTAAGCGAACTGGGCTTTTATTCTTTTTCTTTAGTGGGTTTTTGCTTTACCAGTGGGGTTTCATGGCTAAATGGGCTCACCCAATTGGTCCCCAACACATCATTCGGTCTGTGTCTCCCTATCTCCCAAGCGACAAGTCCGGAGGAATTTCCCAAAACCGATCCGAACGCGGTAATAATAATATCGCTGAGCGATAAAAAGGGTGAGAAACTTTGTGATTATTTAGATCTACAAAACGAGGATTGGGATGAGTAGAGCAGAGGTGCGAGCGTGGGGCGATTTGTGTTCAGATCTGTTGAAATCTATCTACGGCAACCTCCATCTGGTCCACGCAATCGAATTTGGATCAGTATGCAAGACCTGGCATCAAATCCACGCAGCAGCGCTGTCCCATCCCCAACCACGACCGCCGCCGCCCCATGGAGGTGTCTCGTTTATAGATATCCCGTGCTGGGAGACTCGCGAGATGTTGCTCCGGAAACAGGCACATGTGGTTTACAGCTGGCCCTGCGGGTGGTGGCTTCTGACCTCCGGCGACCTTAACATCTTCGCCTGCTTTAATCCCTTGTTGCCCTGGCCCTCCAGTTATATCCCTCTTCCCCAAGCCTTTCTCGGACAGAAGGTCTTGGAAGACACCAGCCGCCCGGTATGGCCAATTACAGCAGCCTTCTCTGGGGATCCAATTAAGGAGGAGGACTGGACCATGATCCTCTTCCATAACGTCAGCTGTTTCTACACGTACCGCCGCAGCGAGGGTCGGTGGTGGTCCTACCATTACAAACACTTGGAAGGTCGGGATTGCGTGGGGATTGGGCATAGGGACCAAACTTTTTTTTCTCTGTTCAACACCGGAGACGTCTTGGTGCTCAGAACTGACAATCCTGGCTACAAGCACTGCAAGTGGAGGATGATGTTAGCAACTGATACTTCCCAAAAACTACTGCCTCTGTGGGGGGATTGTCTCCGTGTGGTGCTCGTATCTGATGGGGAACTTGATGATCGGGTGGTGGTCAGTTGGGGGCGGACAGATGGCTCCAGCTTCCGGCTGCTTAGTGTGGACAGAGATTTTAACAATCGCGGGGATGAAACCAGTACTATTGTTGCAGTTGGAGGAAGGTGGATACAGGGGCTCGGTCCTGAGGATATGTGGCTACCGGAAAACCGTTTGAAGAAGGTACAAGGGCGGCCAGCAGAGGAGGAATTGGTTCAGAGAAGCCATTCACCTAAAGGTTCAATCTTTAGGCTACTTTGTCGATGGTGTGCACGTATTTGTGCGGTCAGAGATCAGCACTAGACTAGATCAGAGCAGTGAATTTCTCTATCTGGCGCACTGTTTTATTCAAGTTTGTTTTGTATTGTTTCGTTTCGTTTCGGGAAGTCACAAGCTTATGGTTTTCAGTTTTATTGCAAACCATAAAAGATATGTATAAGGTCGATGCTCTGCTCTGCTCGTTCTGTCTAGATGAAGGACTTTCTTATATTAGTCAATTGGTATTCTTTTTCACCTTAGCTTATTTCACTCCAAAAAGAGCTTAGCTATGATTTTGATGGTGAACAACAACTTGTTCTGCCTTGGTTGAATTTCGTGTTGTCGAGAGGGCATGTAGTAGGTGTATCTATTGACTGAGGCAGGAGGGACGTCAAATCTGCAAGCAGCTAGGTTCCTGAAATAGTTCAATAGAGGCATTAAGCATATCATCCGTGAAGTGGCTAGGAGGTTCATACTAATTCAAACATCTTCATTTTCAACTTCCAAGTTCAAACCGGATCAATCTCGATGGTAAAGATTACGAATGAAGTGGAAAAGAAAGATGCACATATTCATAAGGCGGAAGTCAGATTTGAAATGCAAATGACAAAATCTGAGAAAGGGGGTCTTTCGGTTCTAGGGGCCTCTGGTCTCTTGTCGTGCGACAACTCTGCAATCGTTGAATTACCCTCAGGCCCCAGCTAGTGATTCAGTCACGAAAGACACGGTGCAATTTCGATCTCTGTTCCCACTCTCTGATTCTGGTGGGACTCCTTAACTGTTGTACAAGTGACTCAAGATGTTGTGTCCAGTGTGACACTACATTTACAGACTCGAAACGGATTTGGAAGATAAATATTCCAATTCATAGGACCCAATTTGTTGTAGTACTCACTCACATTACAATTCCTTGTTTGCAGGCAGATATTAATGCTCTAACATGAGCTAGACGAATTGAGTCAGCTTGGTCTTACTACCCAGACCTGACCTGTCCTACGACGGGTTGGGTCAAGACTCGTCCCATTAGTAGACGGGTCAGGTTTGACCTTCTCCAAAACAGGGTGGGTCGGGCCAGTTTTTCCATCCCTACATCCTACTGCTACTTGGAATTGTGCCCTCTGAAACATTGATGGCGACTCCTTGATTGTTTGTACTGAACATAGGAAGTGAGCTCACTTAGCTTTGAAAAGGAGGCGATATTCAAGCACAGCCTCGTAGGATAGGGATGTTCTTCTTGATTTTATTTGTTTGCTTGTGGCTAACGAAGCAAGTAGCAAGTCGTGCAGGTGCAAGTTGAATTGATGTCAGCGTCCTTAGCTTGTGGATAATGCATATTTTATGAGTGATTAGAAATGAATGAAGTATAATATTTGACCCCCTATCGTTTCTCATTAATATTTTAGGCAAAATACACTTCTATATCTATAACTTTCACGTTTGTGACAAATATATCCATAACTATCGAAATACACGAAATACCCAGAAAATTGTACTATCGTGTGACAAATCTATCCATTCCCGTTACAAACTTTAACGCCGTTTGTTACGGCGTCAGTAAATATGACGGAATAGTGAGTAGGACCATACCCATCTCCCACCTAAGATCGATGTCAGCAAATTTTTCCACGTGGACGCCATGTCAGCAATTCCCCCCCCCCCCCCCCCCTTATACCCTACACAGTCGAGGACTGCCTTCCCACCCCCTTTTTCTCAAACTCGATTTAGGGTTCCATCGGCTGCGCTGGAGAATAGTTTGCTGCCCGTCGCGCCACAGATCCAACGGTTCCCTCCGACAGCAGCCTCACCGCGCCCCTAGCCGTGTCCCTGGCGGCGCCTCCACGCTACAGATTTAGGGTTTCACATTCACCTGTCTAATCGGCTGCGCTGGAGAAGAGGTTGCTGCCCGCCGCCGATCCAAGGGTTCCCCCCGACAGCAGCCCTCCACGCTACATATTTGACTTTTAGCCTTCTCAATTTCCAGCGTCACAAAGGGTTGGGTTGGAGATGTCAAAGCGGGGCTCTTCCTCTGCGACAAGCATCAGTGGTGATGGCCTCATTTGCTGCAAGCACAACATTCCCGCCGTAGTCAAAACATCTGGTACTAATGATAACCCAGGCCGACGCTTCTATGGATGTCCATATTGGAAGGTAAGGGTGAAATTATGGTAACGAAGAATGTTGTTGTTTGAGGGGTTGTTTATTAATTGGATGGTTGTCATTGGGCAGGATGTGAAGAAGAACTGTCGCTTTTTTAGGTGGGCGGAGATGAATGATGATGTTTGCGAGGACACAAATATTGAGAGGTTAATACTGCAACTAGAAGAGAGTTTGAGCATTGCTGAGTCTAAGGCAGAGAGGAGGAAGAAGGAGAAGAAGAGAATAGTTGAAGAAGGAAGGAAAGTGAATGAAGATCTCCGTGCAATTCGGTTTATGTTAACCGTTATTGTTGTATTGAATGCCTTCGTTCTTTTTGTTGTGTGGAGCAATCAATTTGTGATTTAGAAGTAGTAGGGTTTAGATAAGTGGTCATGATGTTTGTTGTAGAATTGTTGAACAATATAACTGTAATGCTATCTTCAATTTGGTCTTCTTAAGTAGTTTGATCAAGAACAATATAATTCCAGAATGTTGTTTAATGTCCAGAATGTTGGAAATGAAGTGGTAGTTGCAATAACAAACATCAAGAACCATTCCTGATTACTACAAAAGGAGTACATCATAACCATTCACACCAAGTTAACTAACCATTCCTGGATTACAAGATGTTTTAGAACATAACCATCCTAACAAAGTGCCCCATTATAGAACATAACCATCCTAACAACGTGCCCCATTAGTTACAAAACCATCCTAACAAAGTGCCCCATTAGTTACATTAGTCGATTTCAAAGCTTCCTTTCTGAAGTCATTACATGGGGGCTGACAAAAGTAAATCGACTCAATATGCCTCCGTCTAAGGTTGTGTGACAGGAGGCTGACTTCCTTGGACATCCACCACTGTTGGCTGACTTCCACCCACTGGACGACCATTTGCTCCGTTCAGCTGGAAGAACAAATATGTAATCAACAACATAAACAACAATTTAAAAGCATCAAATGACTATAGACCACTAGTCTTACCCTAACATATGTATTTCCAGTGGTCTCATTCACATATACACCGATTCCAGCTGTTGCAACTCGCATCTCGCGTGCAATTGTCCTTCGATCACCAACATTTAACCTCACATGCTACATAATGCATCCAATCAACCTCACATAACACATTCTTCATAACAAGTTCAATTCGATTCATACACAATCTTATATACCTGTATTCCACTCCCTTGGTTTATAGGACAAGTTCTTGCATTGTGTGTCGCTGAACCACACTTCGAACAATGACCCACCCTTGGCCTCTTTCCGGTGTTATGAGCTGTTGGCGGAGTAGTTGGCTGTGGCGTTGGCTGAGCAGTTGAACCGCGAGTTCTCCTCGATGTAATTATGTTTCCCTTTCCAAAAAAGCAAATCACATTCAGAAATATAAATCAAGTTCAGCAATATACATTGTGCAAGACAAAATTAAATAACATTCACCTGTCTCACGGGGGCAGCATTTGAAACAGGCTCTTTACAGGTCCGTGCATTATGCCCCTCAGCTCCACACTTGCTGCAGTGGATGACAGTTCCCCTCCTCGACACTTCTTCACCAATTCCATGAGCTTGCGGCCGAACCTCAAGCTCGTGAGCAGCTTTCCTCCGGTTCTTCTTTGGCCTTCCAGGTTGCGCCTTTGCTTGGGAGGGAATACTGGATAACCAGTGGCTTCAGGCCATGCCTGTCTTCCATCCAAGCAAGGGATGCCAACCTTATAGCCCTCCCTCGCATGAGTCGCATGATATGAAACATGGACGTAGTCGTCCACATCCTTCCTCAGGTGTGTGATTGCCGAAACAACGTGGCAACATGGCAAACCGCTCAGAGACCAGTACCCACAAGTACATGTCTTAGTTTGGAGATCAACTATGTACCCTGAATTACCCATCTTCACCTCACATTTCAAATCCAAGGTTTGCTTAGATGTGCACAACCTAGCAAACTCCTTCTCTTTTTCTACCTTCTTTCTAATTCTCGGACACAACAAATCAGTCGTAGCAGATAACAGGTTAAACTTGATTACAACTCGATCCATCATGTAACCCCTAATCCCCTCGAGCATATCTATGATTCTCATTCCCCTATACTTAACAATCGTTCCATTCCAGGTTTCACAGATATTACTCTCCACCGAGTCACACTTAGGTAAATGAGATAAGAAGGATCGGCAAAAGTATCTAGGTTCTTGGTCCATGAAGTCTTTAAAAGGTGTACTAAGTGGGTCATTACCTTCAATCTCCTCCAATTCAGCAGTTGCCTTCTTCCAATCAACTTCATTGCAGGCATAGACGCCTTCCAGAATACTTTGCGGACCCGATCTGTCTTGTTTTTAGATTTCCAGTTTGCATATACATGCCTTGCACACTTCCTATGCTCCGCATCTGGCAATAGGTCACGTAGAGCATCAACCAATCCCTAACACATAAGATAATTGTATAAGCAGTTAGCAATTTTTACTATGTATTAAGTCAGATAATAGAGCATCAACCAATCCCATACTCTTACCTTTTGTTGATCGGATATGACAGACCAGCCCCTTCCATCGCGTAAGTCAAGCTCCTGAGACAAGATGTTCACAAACCACCTCCATGAATTTGAATTTTCACCCTCCACAACTGTCCAAGCAATTGGGAACATTTGATTGTTCCCATCCTTCCCTACAGCAGTAAGCAACATCCCTTTCACCTCTCCCTTCAAAAAGCAGCCATCCAAGCCAAACATCGGGCGACAAGCTAAAAGAAATCCGTCTCGTAGGACTGAGAACCCAACATACAGCCTCTGGAAGAATACCGTCTCCTGTGTAGGCTGCGGTTCAACCTCCAAAACAAATTTCCCCTCTCGATCCCGCTTAAGCAATTCAGCAATATAACTCCTTATACCATGATACTCATCCACTAAAGAACCACTTAACATTTTAACTGCTTCCACCTTAGCCCGGTAACATGTTCTCTTTTTCACCTCCATATTGTGCTTCAACTTGATTTCTGCCATAATCTGATCAGGACTCCACTCTGGATTGATTCTAAATCTGTCCAGCATATCAGATGCAATCCACTTGGGCGTAACTTGATTGACACGTAGGTTGCGATTACAAGAGTGCAGCTGTCCAACCTTCCTAACCATGAAGATGTGATTCCTCCTAAACCAGCTCGCATAAACCTTCCATTTGCACCTCTGATCCTTGCATATAACCTCTTTTCTATCCTTCTCACTCCTTTTCCATCTCAAGCATGCCCCTGCTGCTACGGAATGCAGTACAACAACATTCTTAAACTGATCCACACTGTCGAACTTGAGACGAGGAGTGAACTGGAATTGTTTATGATCACACTGAGGATCGTAACGTGGTGCATCAGCGAATGGCTCAGCATCACCATCGTCAGACAGATTGCCCCTCACATGATTAGAATCTTCTGACAGTCTATAGCTGGAATGCTGAGAAGTTTCCCTTCTTTCCTCCTGGGCATGAGGAGCTTCAACAGATTCGGCTGCTTGCTCAGTTCTGGCAGCGCCTTCACCTTGTAATTCACCATCAATCTGAACTTGAGGAGCAATCTCCTCATCAGTTTCATCCTCGCATCCCTCTTCAAACTCATCCATTTGATCAACCTCTTCCCCGTGACAATCAGCCCTTGCCTTAACTTTCCTTTTCCTCATCTCACCATAAGCTCGTAGATTAGCCCTTGCCTCATGGTACTCGTCGTCCGACGTATCTGCATCATCGGAGTCATACACATGTACCAGGTCACGAGCAACGGAAGCAACCCCATCCTCTGCTGGCCAGCTAGCATCCGAGTCTGCTGGTTGGTTTGGATCATGCTCTCCTACCAGCTCCTCCCATGAATTAGCCATCTGGAGAGAAATAATACGATTTATGTAGGGATAAACGACAAAGCAACTAATTAAGTGATTAACCTAATCTAAACAATTTTTAATTCACTAACAAACAAATTCCACACACAACCATTCACCATTATTATATGCGAAAGGTTTTACTACCAACCACTCAATTACTATTGTACCCAGGATTTGGAAGTGCTGACCTTCAAATTTCAGGGGCAAATCAGCGACACAAGAGAGGGAAGTGGTCCCTGTTCGAATCTACTATGTCGCTTTCCAACCTTTAAAGCAAGCTTCGACAATTGAAAGCCACAACACAATAAACCAAATAAGAACCTTTTGCCCACAATTGAAAGCCACAACCCAAGTAATTGAAGGGTACCCAGTGCTCACCAGCTTCGACAACCGAAGAGAAAAGAAATCGTCGATTGCTGGTTGCGATTAGGGTTTTCGGAAAAACCCTTTCTCGGCGGTCCTAGGCTTCGACGGTGCCTTTGCCATGAACAGGACGCTTGGGTTTCGTCGGGAAACGGCCATCGTCGGTCTATTACCTCGGAAGATGCATGCACGACAACATCTGGCAAAGGCGGCGACGGCGGGGGATGGAACGAAATAGGGCGGGACCTTCAAATTTCTGGGTAGTAAGGGCGCCGATCGGAATAGGTGATGTGGATTTTGGGGATAGATCGACAGGTGTTGAGGGAAGGGAATGATGGGAAGAATACCTCGTCGACCGTCGTGGTCGGAGGGAAGAAAGGGAAGAAAGGGAGATGAAGGAGCGAAGGGAAAATCTGGAGAAGAAAGTGAAAAAGCGTCGATACCGTATTTTTATCCTTTCACGTTTTTTTTTCCACGTAGATTAGTGGGGATGCTAAAACGCCAACTCAGCCTTCCCGTCAGTACAGTCACCCAGTTACTTCACACCGTTAAATGGAAGATCGAAATTGGGTATTTCGTGTATTTCGATAGTTATGGATATATTTGTCACAAACGTGAAAGTTATGGATATAGAAGTGTATTTTGCCAATATTTTACTAATACTTAAGAAATGAATACTACAAGTGATAGCATAACATTTTGAACATGCAGAGAAAGAGCCACAAAGAAAACAACTACCACATCGAGAGAAATGGAAACCTCAAATACTTTCTTCTAGTATATAATACTACTAGAAAATTTGAGCGGCTCGGCCTAATTCGTGCTACGAAACAAAAAGAAGCAAATAGTTTAGCCATTATCCATTGAAGTCTTTTGGATGTATTCATTTAGTTTCAAATTTCAATTGAACCTTGTAATTATTTGCAACTAGAATTAATACCCACAGCTACGTCGCGGGAACAGTTAGTCGTATTTGGCATATTTAGAAGTAGTTAATTCATTACGAAAATAGTTAGAAATTATAAAGCAAGTATAAATTTTTTGTTTAATAGGTTTCTTGTCATGCAAGAAGTCGAAAAGAGTTGCCTTAAGGCTCATGTAAGCTTTTAATTAGCTTGTAAGTTCCATAGTGAACCTACGCCCAAGGAAATATCTCTTTACAGACTGAACTCATTATGAAGTAATCTTAAAATTATGGGGGGAAAGTCACAAAAGTACTCTTCTACCTAGAAAATTGTTATTTGAAATAGTGGAAGTAAACAAATAAACGGTGCTCCAAATTTGTTATCATTGTATCAACAAAAATTGTTAGTCGTCTATATCATTCAATTGTAATACCCTATCTATTTACGATCTATCTATGGAGAAAAAAAAAAAGAGAACTAAGATTCAATGTTTACTAAAGAGAACTAAGGTTACTTTGCTCTTTCATTCAAAAGTCTACAAAACAACACAACCTTTATAGCCGATGAGTCAAACTAACTAAAACATCATAGTAAGTAATGGAAGTCCAAGCTAGACTACATACCTGCCCCACAAACCAAACCCACATTAACACTACACAACAATGTACAGTTTAGGGAAAAGTATAACTAAAACAACCTAACTATAGTCACTAACATAATTTAGTTATTAAACCAACTACCATAAACAAAGCAACATATTGCTCATAATCCATGGCTGGCCAGTTCGAAAACCCCATACCTCCAGAACACGTAAAAACAAATGAATTAAGAGAGTGAGAGGGTTGGACGCTCCTCTGTGTGCTCATACTGAAAAGAGCGTGGTTCTATACACTATAAACAACATGGCTGTACAAAGAGCCACCATCAAGGGCAGCTACGTACCCTTGAAAGTTGAACCCTCATTGCCACTGCATTTGCACACTAAAAAATAGAAAAACAATTAAGAAAAATGCGGAAGAAATCAGAATCAATATTTCTTTCCAAAATCCATTGGTTCCCATTCCATTACCCCATCAAATATGGTGTTTCTTTTGAGTGATTCCATGGCCTGAGAGGCGTAATTGATAGCCAGCCAGTCTCATTCTAGATTGGCCTTTCCCACCCCTGCTGATGTTGTGCAGCGACATAAAAGAGAAGAATCTCAGAATGGAGAGTAGCTTGCTGATGGTGATCCAGCAGCATTTCTTCTGCCATCTGCAGAATTGAACATTGTTTAATAGCAAGCAAAAACAAATGAACTTGTCTAACAAACTACTTAACCACGCAATTGCAGGGATTTCATGATGACAACACAGGTCAAGAGGAAAATTAACTAAAGGAAATGCACAGTTTCAATCTAATGTGTTATTCAGATTTGGTGCTTCACTCTTAATTGGGAAATCATACTTCTAATCATAGTAGAAACTACAGGGATAAAGTTGTATCATAAGTTCTTTTAAGATTCTAAAAGGATGTTACGAAGCACCAACAGGTAGAATCTTACCCCTAGCTTCTCTAAGAATCATATAACAATCAGTGTGTAGGCATAACAAACATAGAATTAGAGTTGTAGTTCAAGAATCAATGAATCATAAACATAAACAGTGTGATTGGCAATCATACTTCCAGTCACATACTAACCGACTACATCATATTGAAATTCAAGAACTAATTTTCCTTCACAAATCATGTCCTCCTGGCTCCTGCACACAGCAGGCTTACTGAATGGACAGGTGGTTATTACTCTTTCCAACTATAAGCACAGTTATACAAATACCAGATGGTTGTATGGTTTTCTTTGTGTCTAAACAAACTCTCATTAAACAGTCTAACCCAATAATAATGAAAGGTTAGTGCACCAAGCAAGTTTTTCTTGTTCTCTTCTTCGCAGGCTCAACTTGTTTCCCATTGCAAATTCATTTTATAGCTGGTAAACCCATATAAAAGAGTTTTAAGGAAAAGAAAACCATCAGTAGATAGTTGAACACATAAGAGACTTACTGCACATAGTTTGTAACCAAAGAGAGTGAAGTCCTGTTGCTATACCCGGGCAACATTTTTAGTCTGGTTGTCGGTTCTCACAGGAAACTATTGCAACCACAGATCTCATGGTAGCTGAACTGCTCAAATGCAGCTGTTCTGGTGTTCTCCCACTTCCTGTAGCAACAGTGCAACACAACATGACAAAATTTGTTAGATTATGAACAATCCATTCAATAAAAGGGTATACCCAATATAAAAGACGGAACCAAAACAATTTTGAAGGACCCATTCACTCGATTCAGAGAGATTGGGTAGCGAAATCATCGGAAAAATCTTCTCCCAAATTGGTAAAGGAAAAAATTCCTAGAAATGAAAAGAATGAGGCGTAAGAGAAACAACGATGAGATATAATTATAACGAATGGAAGTTGTGGAGAAAGCAAAAGACAGCAAAACAAAATCGCTATGAAGTATAGTAAAATTCGAGTACTCTTGGAGGTAAAGGAGTCCTTGAGTGACCCCTTAAACGATCCTAACTCTCTTGTTCCAGTCCAACTGGTAGCTACTCGCAGGATCTGGCCATCGAAATTCATCAGCAATTCATCAGTAAAATTCGAAGCTGGAGTGGCTCTCATGGGCGTCGGTACGAATTCTGGGTTTTCGGGTGGTTAGTCAGATTCCATGGGAGTGGTTTCCCATAAACTCTTCCTAGCGTTACTACCCTTCATCCTATACCACTCGAGATGTCATCTCGCGTCTTCCTCCTCGAAGTCAAACTCCACACCCAGCGGCACGATATCATCCTGACCTAAACAACGACGCCGTCGGCTGCTGATCCGTTACACTGCCATCGACGATAACTTGAGATCTAGTCGTCGGGACCTCAAATGAAGCATTTAGATGCATCTGTCGATAATGATTGCCGAACCGGAGAACTGGGGGTGATGAGTGAAGTCTAATCCTCCTAACGCTGCTTCCGTTGCTATCAAAGAGGCAACGGTTCATCAAAAGTCGTCGCTCAGAGGAGGAGGAGATGGTGGTGCAGGTTGACTCCAACGATGACAGATTCATCCGCTGACGACTGCCCTTGAATGCCGTAGAGGAAGGTCTCTGAATCCTATAACTGAATTGCACGATGAAGCTTCCATGAGGACATCCAGACCTATTTCTACTGGTAAGATTCACGGTGGTCAGGCGATGGGTGGAAGAAAGGGTTGGCTGAAGAGCAGGTGAGGAAATTGAGAATAGAGAAACAAAGAAATTAAATAGGAGTTGTAGCTGAAATTGTGATGGTCGAGCTAGAGAAGAGAAGTCTCTCTCAATCCAGAGGAGTAAAGTGAGGACCGTACAAATGCATGGGCGATGGCGTGTTTAGCAGTTGTAGTTGTGAAGAGTTCGCCACTTAAAGAAGCAAACAGGAGTTGTCAGATACGTGATATGATTGAATTGCAGATTTTGGGACTGAGGGTGAAAGGAAAGGGAAACAGAAGCATGTGCAGCTGCGAGAGTGGGTAAAATAAAGTGGAGAAAATTTTGGTGGAGCCGGCTGCGCGTAGAAGGTTTTTCCGGAGCTGGTTGAAGAAGGTTTTTTCACAACACGACAAACAATGAAACAGTAGAGAAAATTTTGGGCCAATAAAGTGTAGTCTGCTATTATATATAAGATAATAATTGGGGTGTGCCTACGTTGAGATGCATGTCACCGTGACTTGCACTTTCCGGTCGACCTCGTATAGGATCCGGTCGACCTCATATAGGATTCGGTCGACCTCATATAGGATCAGGTTGACCTAATCTGTTGTTTCAGTGTAAAAACAGTTCATGGTGCCTACTTTAGATATTCATATCATACAATTGGCTAGATCGAAATTGAAGACTAATGACTTGTTTTGAAGCTGAAGTGTCCCTCTACATATTGAAGTGGAAGAGAGCTCGATAGGAAGTCCAGAAGACCATTTTTGAACCTTATCAAAAGACTATGCCAAAACAGGGAAACTCCCTGGAAATGGCTAAGTCTGGAAACGTGTTTGTGAAGCCTATTTTGGAGCTCAATTCGAGAAGCATGAATGCGAGTCGAGTCCAAGAGCCTCTACCACGTTAAATTAGGTATGTTTTTATACAATTCAAGGCATTGGATGAAAGATTGGATATCTGTAAGGCTTCAAACAAAAGGGCCGAAGTTGCTACGAAGGCTGTTTTTCTGGCAGACTTCGAGCACAAGCAAGCTACCAGAAAAACAACCTTCGTAGCAACTTCGAGCCTTTTGTTTGAAGCCTTAAAGATATTCAATCTTTCATCCAATGCCTTTCCTTTGTATAATAAAATACGTAATTTAACGTGGTAGAGGCCCCTGGATTTGACTCGCATCCATGCTTCTCAAATTGAGCTCCAAAGTAGGCTTGACAAACACGTTGCCAGACTTAAGCCATTTTCAGGCAGTTTCCCAGTTTTGGCATAGCCTTTTGGTCAGGTTAAAAAATGGCCCTCTGGACTTTCTATTGAGCTCCCAAGTACTTTAATGTGTAGAGGGACACTTCAGCTTCAAAACAAGTCTTTAATCTCCAATTTCCATCTAGCCAATTGTAAGATATGAATCTCCAAAGTAGGCACCATGAGACTGTTTTTACATTGAAACAACAGATTAGGTCGACCTAATCCTATATGAGGTTGACCGAAAAGTGCATGTCACCGTGACATGCATGTCATCGTAGCAAAGTCCTAATAATTGAAGTTTAGAAAGAGAAAGAAGAAACTAACAGAAGGAGTATGATTGCCTCCTTTTAATTTTATTATTTTAGTTATATATTGTAACAAATGGAGTTACATATATTATTGATAAAAAAAAGAGTTAGAGACATGTGTTCGTAAATTTTCTAGTGTTCTTTGTTGAACAGAATGTCAAATGATTTAAATGGTTGAGTCGGCAAGCAAGTAATTTGAAGTTCAATAATATGATCGAGGTCCAACTTGTTTACCTGTTCTATACATTCTCTAAATATATGTATATACAAATAAGAAAGTAATTTAAAAGTTTTGTAATTCCACATTTAAGTGTGTACATCTACTATCTCTATCTATCTATCTATCTATCTATCTATCTATCTCTACTCTACTATCTACACATAATATAATACACCGAAGGGAAAAACCGGAGCCCCATTTCAAATTTCCTGCAACGAGAGTGAAAGTAGGAAGGACATTTTGGTCTTCACAATTACTTTTTTTATTCATTAAAAAAGTATGTACTGGGATTCGAACCATGACCATTTTAAAGAAAGGCAAGGATCATAACCAATCACACTAAGTACATTTATTATATTCTTTTAAATTAAAAACATATAATAGCAGGGTGGAAAAAACTCTTCCCCCATTTCAAATTCCCTGTTCCATGAGCGTTTGTAGGAAGGGTAAAATAGGGAGTGTCAATTTTTTTCTCTTTCCTCTATGGAACGGGCCAACTTACCGTACACATGCGGATTTAAACGAGTCCAGGAGTGTCAATTTTTTTCTTTATACCCTTTTATTTATCCGTGGTGATAAAATATATATGAAAAGGCAAAAATAATACTCCTTTTTATTGTTAAAAATAAAAAATTTAACAATAGACTAATGCATGGTATCTAATGGGCTAACCGCTAACCATAAAATAAAAGAGTTGAATGGGCCTGATCTACATGGGATTTGGTCATCAAGTAAAACAAATGAACATCATGGGGTTGCCATTCTAAAACAAGCTATTTTCTCTGGCATAATATATATTATGCTATTATTTTATATCTTAGTGGCTAAAATATAATGTATTTTAAAGTTATTCAATGGTTCAACCTCGACCAACCCAATTAGTCCAATTTTTATCATTTCAAATATATATTTTATAATTATTTGACATCATAATGATCAAATTATAGTGTATTTTATAGGGAATCGTTTGGTATTTGTTAGTAAAAAACTAAACATAAAAATCTATTTGGTTATTTTAAACATTAAAACGATCCTCAACATTTTCAGTTCCTTTTGAATTTATATGGTTTTATTCCCGAATAAGTGATGTGCAAATGGCGAATTGTAGTCGTCTTTTTTCTTTCACTATTTTTTTATTTTCAAATAGAAAGTTTAAAAGTAAAGAATAATTAGAATTTGGCATGGGTTGGTCAAACAGGTTGAATTTCAAGTTTTGGCCCATTTGTTTTATGCATTGCAAATTTATTAGCATGTTGATGGAAATGGCTTGGAAAAAAGACATATAAGTTGTATCTTTGCAGAAATGTCCTCAAATGTTTGAATGCTTTGTGAATCAGGTTCTGTGACTTTTGTGATGGTGTATGTGCTTGACGATTGCTCGATGTTGTAACTTCTTAATTTAAGAGTAAATCTTTTGACTTTCCCTATGAGTTGTGATACCAGTTCTAGTGGTTGCAGCATGTTGTCGTTGTTGGCCTGTAAAAGTTGTTCCGCCGTGATGCTAAATACCTTTCCTTCTTTTTTAACAAATTGTGTAGTAGTGCTATGAAACAGACCACCCATGAACGCTACGCTTATTATGTTCTGTTCTTACTTCCGGTGGTGAGAAATTTTGAATTGAGAATCATATTCGCCTACCGCACTGTGTCTGGTTGGTGGCTGCTTACTGTGCTCTCTAGAGTTATGAAACAGACTACCCATGAACTTTACCCTTAAGAGTTCACAACTTTGCGAAAAACCAAATATAGGCAATCAAAGGTGGTGGATGTGTGATGATTTTTTATGGCTTAATTGTTTGTGAATTAGATATCTGATCTTTGTATGATTAGGGGGATGTTTGCTTAACAGAATAATCCATTTTAATTCATGTTTATTTTTAACATGAACTTTAGTAACTCAAAACCTTCGAGACACATATCACCTACTGCATTGTATCATTTTGCCTGGTGATAGCATCGTATTTGCACGTGTTTTCACTCGGATTTCTTGTCCATTTTGGCTCGAATTGATTGTTGCTTGGCCTATTTTTACGCTAGGTTGTGTTGTTTTGCCATATTTCAGGTCCTAGCAACTACAGAGGTGCATAGGCGCAAGTTTCAGGTCATTCGGAGGTCAGATGGCGAATCACAGAACGAATTACGGGCAGCCCCTGCCAAATTACGACCGTAATTGGTCAGGGCATGCCCGTAAAACAATTGCCGAGCCTTTTCCCCAGAATTTCCTCTCGGTGATAAAATTACGGGCAAGACTCCCAAGAATTACGACCGTAATTCCCAAATTACTGGCGGTAATTGTGAAATTACGGGCGTATCTTCTCCTCCTTCAGCTTAATTGAAACGTGCGTTTTGGGGCGAATTACGGGCAGGACGTGATTACGGCCGTAATTCAGCCCGTAATTCGCCCAGAGTCGGGTTTTTGAGGCCAGAATCGAGCCAAGGAAGGGGAGATCGAATTTCTTGAGCAAAAACAGAGCCCTAGAGAGAGAAAGTGCGAAGAACTCACCCTAGAAGCCATCTTGGAGCTGGGTTTCATCAAATCAAGCTTGGAGATCGTCCTAGGAGTGGAAATCATCATCCCGGAGCAGATTTTCCTCATCATTATGAGTATGACTACTCCGATTACTGTTTTCTTTTCTCTCTCTATGGAGTAGAACCTCTCTCTCACTTGGGGATGAAGAACCCTAGTTCTATGTGTTAGGGGATTGATTGTAATGACTTGGGATGATATTACTGTTTGATTATAATCGAATGATGCATGTTTATTGAGTCAATTGAAGTCTGATCAACTTTTCCTGATTCCTACTGCAATCTGAGATAGATAGAATCTGATTAGGTTGCTAGAGTCTCATCATTCGATAGTAGGAGACTGGTTATACGAGAGTTAGCCAGTTTACTGCTTTGTACTGGAATCTAATTCCAGTAGTGAATTTCTGTTCTTACTGCTTCAGCTTTCTATCCCGGTGAAGACTAGTCGTCTGCCGGGTAGTTAGACTGAGAGGGCTTGGTCAGCTTAAGAGATTCCAAGCTACTGCCGGATCTTCCGCAGTCTAATCAACAGTAAATCAACCCAGGGTAAATTGCAATTGAGACCTAACTAAGGAGCTAGGGGGATTCATTCCCGAGTGACTCTTTCCTGCTTAAGAAAACCGAATAATTTCCTGCTTTATTTCTGCTTTTAGTTTAAACAACAATCACTTACTCTAGTTGGCTAGATAACAGAGAATCACTGAGTAAGCAGTAGATCTAGACCCCGGGTTGATAATATAACTTGCCTGTTACTGCATTCCCGGTCTGCGATTACACTTGGTCGCAGATTGGTGTTGTGTTTTGGCGTGTCAAGTTTTTGGCGCCGTTGCCGGGGAACCCTCTAGGTTATTGGGGAAACGTGAGAATTTGTTACTCTAGCTTTTATTTTCTGCTTTTTATTTCTTCCACCTGTGTGCCTTCACGGGTTGTTTCTGCTGATTG